TCTTCTGATACTCACTGTGGTCTTATCTTATTTCTTGTCTTCTTAATAACCTTTTGGTTTCTTCATGTAAAATTGTTCTTGATGTCTTCCCACAACTCATCTAGTCTTCGATCATTTGTATTCAATGCACCAAATCTGTTCTTGAGACGATCTCTAAATTCAGGTAGAATATATTCAAGCTGCTGACATGCTAGATCTGTGGACTTTGTGGCTCACAGTCCAGTGCTTAACATATTGAGCCATTGCGCCCCATGTTAGAATATGGTGGAGAGCAAAAGTGATTGGACAGGGTGATGTTATGTAGATGAAGGGGATAAAGAAATAAGATTAAATGGTATAGAAACCTCATTCCTGGGTACATTTTCTTTCTCTTTTCCTAGTTTTCTTAGCCTCACTTTAAAAAAAAAAAAGACAATACTGAAACTTGTATTTGTTTTCCAGGTGTGCTGTAACAAAATACATCAAGCTTGGTGCCTTAAAAGAGCAGGCATTTATTCTCTTTCAGTTCTAGAGGCCACAAATCCAAAAAAAAAAAAAAAGATGTTGATAGGCCTAGGCTCCTTTCAAAGACTCCAGAGTATTCTTTCTTACCTCCCTGGCTCCTGGTGTCTGTTGGCATTGTTGTGACTGTTACCTTTCCATCATGACATATTTTCCCTTCATCATGCACAATGACCTTGTTGTTAGATTTGGGGCCACCTCGATATTACAGGATGATCTTTTATCTTGAGACCTTAACTACATCTGTATAGTTCTCTATTTCCCAACAAAGTTGCATTCACAAGTATCAAGGGTTAGGGAAGGGGCATATCTTTTGGGGATCACCATTCAACCCACAACACCTGGCAATTTAGGATGCTAGATTACAAAAAACCCTTGAAGCACATACTGGAGAATTCAATATTCTTTGGACATGTTAACTGTTAATAAGCCTTGGGAATTTAAAACCATGCCCTAGCCCAGGCTACCTAGATAAAGCACTGGTCCTTATTTTTTCTATTTGAAAAATAAAGATGAAATAATATTGTTAAGGTCCTGAAGCCAGATTTAGTTGGTGTCCAAGAAACAGTCAATAAAAGAAGTATTGTCATCTGAGAGACAAATAGTAAAGTCAAGTAATAGCCATTATAATTTCTATGGGCTTTCATTCTGCCAAAAGTATACAGTTCTGATTTTTACACGCTTAGCACAGTGCTTGCAAAATTCCAGGTGTCCTTGAGGGAATGAGTTGCTGAGCCTGGAAGTTCAGGACCATAGTCATTGAGACACCATGGTCAAATGGCATAGCGTAATCCTCAAAAACAATATTCTAAAGCCTACTTTGGTGAGTAGTAACTTGGATCTTAAAAA